GTGAGCGCGCTCTAGGGCAGGGGAACTACTCACACGCGCGAGCGCGCTCTATGGTCAAGGATCTACTCACTGCGTGAGCGCGCTCTAGGGCAGGGGAACTACTCATAGATTTGACTGTTTTTCCTTAGTTTGTCATTTGCTTTTTAATTTTATTTAAGATTTAAATCATTTTCCCTTAATTTTTTCTTTTCTTTTAAGCTTAGAAAAGTTATTTCTACCTTATAATCAGATAAATATTTATGTTTTATATATTTTAAGGTTCCTTCTTTACATAAACATTAAAGGCGCTACCATTTAAGTGACTGGTATAAGGAGGAGAGTGCCTCAGTTATTTCCCTAGCAACTAACCAACTTCTGAGTTGTATTTAGTGAGTAATTCACTTTCTCCCCATTTTAACCATGGATTAAAATCCCAAATATGCTCAGACCAATTCCTGGGCTCTCTGTTCTTCGGATGCTCTGTTCACCTCTGCATTTTTGCACTTCAAACTTGAGAAGAATGCTTCTAGGACACAGGATATTTCCCCTCAGTAGTCCCTTCTTCAATTTTCATTATTTTATCTCTCTAGTGAATTTTAGAATCATTTTATAAAGTTCTATCCTTTCACTCCCCAAAAAAGTCTATCAAGATTTTGGCTGGACCTTTATTCATTCCTAAGCTAAGTGGAAAGCTATCATTAAGTATATGGTCCAGTTTTGTTCATATTAAAATCCTATTCCATGGCAAAGACTAATATTTTACTTGAATATTAAAGTAGAATACAAAAGAGTTATTTCCATAAGTCTGTTGATAAAGAGTTATTTCCATAACTGTGAATTCTGATATATAATATTTATATCAGGCTTATTACCACATCTTTTTTTTCTTCCCAGGAAAATGCAAAGCCTTTCGGATTAAAAGCATAGTTGTGTAACTGTTTCAGATCTAGAAAGTTAATTTCCTTTGATTCACATGAAAATTAGTATCTACTTAAAATTGATTCTTTATAAAAATGATTACTATTCTCATTCTTTAAGAACATCATCCTCATCTCTAATCATAGATAAGTCTCAATTTGTAAACCTCTCCTAATTAGGGCTTTTTACTTTTAAGCATACTTTGGAAAGTGATCAGAAAGTCTTACTGACTTATTTATGTTAACAACTTCTATTAAAAAATAGTCTATTATTATGGGTCTTGATGCTTAGCACCATGACCTTGGGTTCTCTTAGTAAGTTCAAGGACGAGTGCTGTTTCAATTGCTCAAGGAACACATTACTTTGAAGAGAAAGATAAAAGAAAGAGGAAGATAAAGGGGAAGATATGAAAATAAGAGCAAGGTCACTTACAACTCAAAGGCCACACAGGGCTGAATGACAGAGCCAAGTCAACAAAGCATAGTTCAATCCTGTTTGAGTTTGCCAACACAGTAAGAAGATATTATGTGACCAAGAAAATCCAATTTTGAGAATCTAACTATAATCTCACATTATTGTAGGAGAGAAAGTTAAGTAAAAATATGTACTCTTTATAAAATGACAAACTTTTAGGGCAAAAACTCAAACACTGTAAATCATTAACTTAAACAAATTGGTACATTTTCTTTTCATACCTTCAGGAGGTCTCTGCAACTGGGATTTCCGATAAAACAACATGTAGGCACTTTCTTTACCCTGAAATTGCTGTTCAATATCCTTTTCCTTGATTGGTTGGACTTTGGAATCATTTATGTCAAACCAGTGAGGACAGGAGGCACTGTCATTTAATCCCAAGGTTTCTGAAGTAAGTGTCTTGAAAATTTGTTGATCATTCCTTTGGAAATCAGACTCAGCCTGGAGAGAACAGTTCTTCAATAGACTAACTGTACTTTCGTCTGAACTGAGTAGAAATATCTGAGAATGGAGCTGTAAGAACTATACAGAAACAAACAAACAAAAAAAACTAGATTAATAGAAACATTTTTTTAATTAGACATGATAAAAAGAATGTTTTCTTCTTTTCTGTGATTAGAGCTTTTAATTTCATCTTTAATTTTGGCCTGGGCAGTTGGAGTGGGAGGAAATCCATTTGGGCATAATAAAACATTTAACAAAACCAGAGTGTTTTATTAAACAGTCTAATAGTTATGCCAAGGGAGAAAGTTGCCATGCTACAATCTAAAAAGCATTTTAATTATACCTCACTAATACTGTTTTAATACCTTCTAAAACCAGTGTTATAAGGTATAAATTACTGTTTAACTGAAACAGATTAGGTAAAACAAACACTTTTAAAATATTTAAAAGCAAACTAAACAAAACACAACACAAAGGCAATCACAGAGGGCATGACTGTAAAATATAATCCGAAAACTAGTGGCCCAGAAAGACTCTGCTGGGATAAAGTCGTGCCATATGCCTAAATTATCTTTTAACATTAATTGAGTGTTTTCTGTTCTGGAAGCTGACAGGCAAATTCATAAAATCAAAGCACAGACTGTTTCTCAAGTTCTTCTTGCTAAAGGATTAGGAGAGAAAAACAACCTCTCTCCTCATCTCCTCGCTGCCTGTTCCTGCCTCCTCTCCCCTATGTTCTCTTGCTCCTGGTCTCTACATGGCCTTGTATCACTTCCTTTTCTTTCAGTGAAAAATTACTTTATACAGAAAATCACTTGGGAGCAAAATGTAACACTTGCGTATCTCACCAATCACCGTGGAAAGGTGATTTTCTCATTTTTTCTTAGAAAGAAAGTAATTTGGGGTAATGTCAGCTCTCTATTCAAAACTATCATTTTATCACAAACAGAAGGGCACAGGCCTCTACCACAAGGTATGACCTAAAGACAATATTGTTAACAGTGTGTGAGAACAGAGGGTAAAATAGTTTTGCAGCTAATTTGTGTTAGATACAATAAAATACAAGCAATTTGAACGCTGAACGATGAAGTTTCTTCTTTTTTTTACAAGTAAGAAAAATTTTGTTAATTACTGCCAAGTTTTCTTTGTTTGATGGTGGAAAATTAAGTCTTAAGCCTCAAATTTCAGTGCAGGGCAGCACCAGTAATGGCAGAGAGCTTTTATTAGACTAACCCTCCTGATGAAAATGATAACTCTAGACAAAATGAAAACTGTTGGAAAGTAACCACAAGTAGACAAAGTGAAGAGGATGTAATACTTTAAAGTCTCAGTTTGTAGCAGTACATGGTGGAAGAGAGTGTGAGAAAGTGGCAGGGGTCTTACTGTGCTGAGGAGACAGGCAAGAAAGGAAGAGAAAACATGCCATAAATAAGTCCCCCCTAATCCTTGGATAACTCCTAAAGGGTAAATCAACAGACTAAGACCCCAAGGCACCCAGCAGAGAGCAACAGCCAGGAGGTATCATATCTGAGCAAAGCTACCTGCTGCCAGGTACAGAGCTCATGGAAATTCAGGTCCTGCCAAATCAGAAGGGGTAGCAGTCTTTTTCTTAAAAAGCCACATGGTAAGTAATTTACAGGTAAAATCGAGAACATTATGTAGGTACTTATATAATCTTTTAAAAAGTAACCATTTAAAAATATAAAGCTTGTTCTCAGCTAAAGAAAGACTGTATAAAAACAGGCCAGAGGCCACATTTTGCCCATAGGCCGTGGTTTCCTAAGCCCTGCCTTAAGAAGCATGAAAAAAAACTCAATAAATTCAAAAGAAATAAAATCACATAGAGAATGTTTTCAAATGGCATTAACTGTAAAGCAAATTATTGACATAAAAAGATAACTAGAAACCCTTTAACTATTTCTATTTAGCTAATATTTAGCTAAAAATTAAGCAACATATTTCCAAAGAACTTGTAGGTCAAAGAATCATCATGCAAATTATAAAATATTTGGAATTGAATGAGAGTGAAAGCATGTTGAACATAGCATCAGCTATTAGTAAATCAGTGCTTAGAAGGAAATTTATAGCTTTGAGTATTAGAAAGAAGGTTTAAAAAAACAGAGGTGGCGCCTGCAGCTCAAAGGAGTAGGGTGCTGGCCCCATATACCAGAGGTGGCGGGTTCAAGCCCAGCCCCAGCTAAAAACTGCAACCCTCCCCCCAAAAAACCCCAGATAATCAACCCAAGAAGCTAGAAAAAGATGATCACATTATATTCTAGCAAGTAGAAGGAAATAATTAAAAATAAGAAACCAGTGTATTAGGCCTAGACTAAGGTGGAAAAATACCAGTTAACTCCTGGCAAATTTCTGGGCCACAAACCCTCAACAAAATGGAGTAAGTTTGGTTTACTCCCCTAATAGATGGGAAAGTACTCACTAACTTCTTGCTTGACGTGACTCCCTGAGAAATGGACTGGGAGGTACCAAATGTCCCCAGACTGACCTTTAAGAAATACCAGATGGTGAAGTACTGAAACAAAGATATATGCCTAACTAACCACAGAATTCTGTTTCTGTATAATGCTTGCTAACCTACCCAGATGCACCTGGGTAGCCTGCATGTCAACCAGGATGCAGACCAAGCCTTAAAAATCCAACCCTTGGCTCAGCACCTGTGGCTCAAGTGGCTAAGGCGCCAGCCACATACA